TTCACAAATATTCAGTGGTTTTATGTCTTAAGGTGCCTGAACTCCTAGGTCCCGGCGCTTATGTGTAGACTACCAGATTTTACTACCAAAAAAAATGTAAAAATTTTTTTAACCTGACCAAACAGCAGTTTCTTCCCAAACTTAACATTTTGGCACTGCAGTGAGTGAGTGACTTTCTACCCCACCAGGACATCACACAAGCGATAAACACCCGATGACACAAAGTGCCACCATGTGGATGAGGATCACCGTGGAGAGGTCCCAGAAACCGCGTTCAGACATTTGGCCATTTTTATGGCCTACCTATATTGCGGCCCCTGGCAAAAGCCAGAGTGGGGCTTCAAATAACAAAAAATTACGTCCTGAAAAGGACGTAAAGACTAGTGTAATAATATTGGCACTGCAGAAACTCAAACGGACTCACATCACTCACATCCCGTCAGAGAAGCAGAGATATGTTTGTTTCTGACGCGCAAATTCCCTCTGCCGAATGCATTCATATGTGGGTTGTCAACGCAACTGCCTGGATGGAATGCCTAATTCAAACATTGCAGATAGGGACGTGTTTTCGTCTGGTCTTAAGTTTCCCTGATAATGATTTGGGTAATGGCGGAACTGACGTGGCCGTTAATAACCAGGTTATAGTTCATGGCGGGTCAGAAATATGAGTAGCTTCCCTTTATTGGGAAGGGGAAACAACCCTAGCAGTTAAATAATTTAGTAGGGGGGAGGACTGCTGTGGTGTTTGGTGGAGTCGTATGTTAGCTGACTAAGTAAATTTCATTTATCGGCAAAGTTAGTTGCGTATCGTTTACACGACATTGCAGAACACACCCCAGCATTTTTTGGCTGTTGTTTTTCTAGGCAAATTTACGTCGAATAGTTTGCTATTGCTTTATGGACGGTCGGCTTTTCGATAGCACTGTCGAAACCAACGCAAGGCTATTAGCCCACAGCTGGGATCGAACCCGACACCCCAGCATTACGAATCGAGTTCGCAACGCCTAAGCTACAGACGTCGACCATTTATCGGCAGAGCGACCATAATTTTATGAGCTGCAACGAGACATCCCAGTAATACTATGACAAACCGGATAATCTAAGCAAGACAGTTTAACAAGCGGCCCTCCGGTTCCATCCCATTTTCCGACATTTGTTTTCCCTGGGTCACCGGGGTGAAAAAGTTAATTACTCGCTTGTCAAAAGTATTGAAACCGGAATCACCGCCATCAAGTAAAATACGACATAATCAGCTCTTCAGCTGTAATGGGAAAAAAATCGCTACAGTAAACATCAACAGATTTCAAATTTTACAAGTACCTAAAATTATAAATATAATCAGTAAATTGATATAATAGACGGGGTTACTCCAAAGATTTATCCAGTTGTAGGAAAGACAAGATTCTGGACAACATAGATCGATTTGCCCGCTTTGGACTGCTACTTAAATGCTTATCACATGATCCTGAGATTTGGAAATCTCATTCTGGACAGTAGACCAATGGGGCAGATCGCAGATATCCCGTTCAACCCCTAAAGAAGCTATTATTAGGGTCCCCGTTTGTGTTTTTAAACTCAGTGTTATTGTATTCACATGGTGTTGGCGTGTGTCAGTGGTAGTAGTAGTAGATTTGTACCCCACCAGGACATCACACAAGCGATAAACACCCGATGACACAATGTACCACACAAACGTTACTCACATACCAACCGCCACACAACAGTGACTCACATACCAGCGGCTACATAACACTGACTCACACACCAGCGGCTACACAACAGTGACTCACATACCAGCGGCTACACAACAGTGACTCACATACCAGCGGCTACACAACAGTGACTCACATACCAGCCGCCACACAACAGTGACTCACATACCAGCGGCTACACAACAGTGACTCACATACCAGCGGCTACACAACAGTGACTCACATACCAGTCGCTACACAACAGTGACTCACATACTAGCCGCTACACAACAGTGACTCACATACCAGCGGCTACACAACAGTGACTCACATACCAGCGGCTACACAACAGTGACTCACATACCAGCCGCTACACAACAGTGACTCACATACCAGCCGCTACACAACAGTGACTCATATACCAGCGGCTACACAACAGTGACTCACACACCAGCCGCTACACAACAGTGACTCACATACCAGCGGCTACACAACAGTGACTCACATACCAGCCGCCACACAACAGTGACTCACACACCAGCCGCCACGCAACAGTGACTCACACACCAGCCGCTACAAAACAGTGACTCATACACCTGCCGTTACACAACAATGACTCACATACCAGCCGCTACACAACAATGACTCACATACCAGCCGCCACACAACAGTGACTTACACACCAGCCGTTACACAACAGTGACCCACACACCACCTGCCAAACAACAGTGACTCACACACCAGCCGCCACACAACAGTGACTCACTAGCCACACAACAGTGACTCACACAGCAGCCGCCACACAACAG